CCCCACCTCGTCTGCTGCCAAACTTGCTCCTCACTCTCGCGCTTCCCCCAGATGAAAGCACCACTGTCATCCACGGCAGGGTCTGTGCCTTAGAAACCTCATTCCCATCACTTTTAATTATTGATTCTGAGCTGACGGACTTTCCCAGCCCCGTCCCTGCCCTGATGTCCCCTGTCCCTTGCTCTCCTCCCTGGGTGTCTCTTGACTCACCAGTCCTGTCTCCACGACTGCTGCCCGGCTTCATAAATAATGACCGATATTTCAGTGGCCTATTTTGTCAGCTGTTTTCTAGCAATAACGGCAGGTAGGCAGAAATCTGTCTTTTAGCTCTTGCTGTATATCCTAAAAAAGAAAAGAAAATAAATTGAAATGTTACTTAAGCTTGGTTTAGCGTTGCCGTTTTCCCACCTTTGCCCATTCAGGTGGTTTTACAAACTGAGGAGGCAGGAGGAGATGCAATTGCTTGGATTTAAGGCACTGTAAAAAGTGAACCGTTGCTGCGTGCCCTCACAATTTGGGATTCTCTGCTGCTGGAAGTCTCCCATGCTAAACGTCCTAAGAAGATTAAGATCAACCCTTTTAATATTGCTTTTAGCAGAGCTTATTTGTAACCCTTTCAGAATGCGTAGCACCTTAAGAGATGGCACGACAGGGCTTGTTATGACAAGCCTTGCCTACCCTTTACGCGGTGTTTTCTCAAATACTAAACCTTTCTCCCAAATTTAGCACTTGCATGTTCCTGATTAGCTTGCATAAACCATAAGTTTTAATTTCTTTTTTTTTTTTAAATAGATTGCATTTATTTGGCCCTTTGAGCAAGTCCTGTATCTTTTCCACAACTTTTCTACTTTCTAATTGCACAGCCATATCTGTCGTCCTCCAAATCCTAAATAACTGTGATTATCACCATGTATGATAAGTTTACATGCACTTAAAAAAATTAAACTTCAGTTACAGAAGACCATATGGATCTCTTACTGAATTTCCCTCAAATTCAGGAGATGAATATGCACTAAATAATGTAAAGGGCCAAACTTTACTATTTAATTTTAATTTTTTTTTAAAGAAAAAGTTTTCCATCACTGGTCAGGGATATGGGTATCCTGCAGCCACAGGGAATAACTCCAGTTTATCTGGTCTCCATGCACTCTCTTTCCAGTTCCAGCAATGGGTACGGCTCTAGGGGTTTAAGGTTGAATTCACAAAAATCCCTGAATAGCAGAAGAGTGTTTTGAAGCCTGTTGCCATTGATTGTATAGAGGAGCATCATCGTAGCGCTGCAAAGTTGCTTTTTTAAATCATTTTAGGCTGAAAAGAGGGATGTCAAGCCATCAGTTAATCCTGACAGCATCCTTCTGTGGTGAAAAAATAATACTGTCACACCCATTTTATAAACGGAAAATCTCGGGCAGAGATAATGGAGGCTCAGTACTGGTGCTGCTGCTGCCACCAACCTCCCAATCCCTATTTCGAGGGCAGTTTTGAAAATTTTGTTTCAGATCACAGTGGGAAGTCACTAAATCAAGCTGAACCTCAGGCCACGTACCCTTACCCGTACCACCAAACCGCAACCAGTTCTTAAGAGAGACTGCAAATGTCTCTCTTAAAACATGTTTTAGACTGCAAAATAATAATAATTTTTAAAAAGACATGAGCAATCCTGGGTAAAAAAAAAAATTAATGTGCAATATCTAAATGTGGAGATTGAATGTCTCCAAGGGCAGTGCTCTCAAATCCAAGGATGTGTATGGTGCCCATGTCTGTTTTGTGGCATTTACAGCCGGAGTTTGGTTTTCACATTCTTATGATGAAATTTAGAGCATCTTCATACCGTACCCAGGTCTGTTTTTTTCCTTCACTAAATGCATATAACAAGAGCATTTCAAACACCTAAATGAAACAACAAAGGCAAACCCTTGAACCACATTAGCTTAATTTCCCCCCAAACACAGTATCTTGTAAGTTTGCATTTTCCTGTTGGGCTTTTATACAGTTTTGCCATTCTTCTTAAGGAAGTGGAGTATATATATAATTAATACTGTTTAATAAAGCTCAAAAATGCAACAGATGCAGCCAAAAGTGCACGTCATTTTGAGCAGATCTTTGCAGAACAGACATTCCATATTGTGTTCATCTTTTTCCATGATCACTGCTATGACAATCTGGTGTGTTTAGCAGTTGTTGCTGAGTAAGGCAGACTGGATTGTATATGATTTTCTCCATGTCAGCCAAGAAACAGAGCTCTCTTCTTGGTGATGCAGTAAAGAGGTGGTCTTGTACTATTTGTTGCTTTCTACTGGGAGTAGCTACAGCTTCCCTATTTTGTTAGAATATTAATACTTTGTAATTGGTAAGTGTGTGTGCCAGAGGCTCTCTGTAGGTCTTAAAATAAAGTGGTTGTGATGTGGAAAAGTTACAGGAACTGGTAAATCTAGTAAGATGACCTCCCAAATAGAAAAGCTACAAGATTTGCAAAACGTCCCATTAAAATCTGTATCGCATAAAAGCAAAATATTTTAAAAGAGGATATGGAAGGAGGATCACCTACAGCAGAAAACCCGTAAGAGAGGCTCCAGTGCAGAGGAAACGTTTCCCCTCTCAGCATTCCTTCTGGGTGCCAAATTTTCCTTCTGTTCTTCCCCACCTATTAAACAAAGCTGCAACTTCCAATTCCTATCAGTTTTCCTAAATATGTGCAGCTTATGTGGCTTTGTCGAGCTGTAAGGCTCCGTTTTCTCCTGCCAGCTCCTTGACAATGTGGCTCCAACAGCATCCTCCACTTTTGGCTGCCTCTGGAACCCCTGGTCTCTTCTGGAAAGGGAGAGGGAAAGCATATCCTTTGCTGGAAGGACTTCTTGTGACTGCAGAGAGCTCGGAAAGGTCCCTGCGAGCGGCGTGGCTCTGTGTGTCAAGGCTGCCTCTAATGGGGATGTTCTGGTCCAGCTCGGGGTGAGCTGCACATTGCTTGGCATCAGGGCTCGTGGGCATCACTTACCAAGAGCCCACTTAGGGGAAACTGAGGCTGGGATATACCGAATCCCACTGACTCCCAGCACCAGAGCTGTTTTCCTTGCATACTTGGGCATTTCTGAGAGAGTTCCTCCCTTCCAGCCAAGTCTGAAGCCTCCTTCGTAATCCCCTTTTGGCTGGGAACTACGGTCCTGGCAACACGGTTCTGCAACTCATTTACCTGCCAGAAGCAGGTGGTTTTTCTGAGCGTGACGATGCAAGCAAACCATAGGCAGTCCTGGGCTCTTTTGCAAGAAATTCTCTCTCCAAGCCAGTGCTCATCACATCCACTTTGGTTACTGGAACCACCATGGAAACTCCTGGTTCACAGATGTGAAACAAATTATGGAGCTTATGCAGTTGCATTCCTCCTTATTATTGGGAACAAAACAAATCTGGGAGATGGAGGACTTTCTTAAAGTAACTATTGTCTGGCTTTGTTTTAAGAAAATGCAACTAATGCTGAAAACTCCACAATTCCTGAAGATTTCTCAGCGTGGGGAAGTCATATTAATTATAAGATTAATTTATTTTAACTCCCTAAACCAAAAATATTGACTGAATGAGAAATTAACACATGTAGAGCTGCAGATGTCATTTGGCTTCAGATTTCCCGAATGATATAATTATTAATCTTTTATATAGCAGTGTGACAAACCTACAGATTCATTCTGCAAAATTAGTCTCTGAAGAAAGACACCAGGATGGCTGAGCTATAGATTTTCCCTTAATATAGGAAGGAAAACAGTGGAATTTTCTAAATAATAAATAAAACCAAAATATTTTAAAGACATCTGGTGCACATCTGTCTGACATACAATAATTTAAAGCAGAATAATTAAATGCAAGATACAATATTCACCTTAGGGTGGGGGAATTATTTCATTTTTAATATAACTTACCAAGTTCGGGAAATTTAGATCATCTGTGGTATCTTTTGAACCTTTCATTCTGTGCTAGTAAAGAAAGTAATTTAGCAATTTGACTTTTTATTTTCTTTTTAGCTAACGAACATTGTGTTTCAAGGCATTGAGTGTCATACCCATACAAACCTTTAATAGTGTCTTCAGCTGAAATTATAATTGGGTGCAAGTTTGCAACTTTCTATTTTAACTCCCAGTTAACTCCTTAAAAGTCTAAATGTAGAAAAATGCCTCATGTCAGTTTATTCCTTTCTTATTTTCCAGTCTGGGAAATCCTATGCTTTTAGCAAAAGTTTTTGATTAACCTATTCCTCCTGAAAAAGGGAGTAAACTGCAGTGGAGACTGTATTGGTTGGTTTTTTTTACAGGGGAAAAAAAAAATTAAAAAACCTTTTTTTTCCTACTTTATCCTTTTTTTGCGGCATGGTTTTGCCTTAAGCTAGGTAAGATATTGTTGCTCTGTCATTCTCACTTGCAAAGTTGAGTAATTAGAAGAGTAAAGGCATCATCCGAAGACAGGGAAGAGAGAGAAAAATCTGCTGAAACTTGAGTTTTGATGCCGAGTGCTGGGTTGAGGGAAATGTGCAACCGCACGGCGTGAGCGAAGAGTGAAAATGTGCTGAAGAGGTTTAGCCCCCGCCAAGTACAATTTAGGGAAATGCTGTTCAGATAAACAAACAAACCAAGTCCACAATTAAAAGTTAAGCGATGCTGAGATAAGTTCTGTTTGTTTTAAGGGAACATGACAAAGATCCTGAGACTTTCTTTAAAGTCTTGTTGAAGCTGAAAGAAGAGGAGCTGCCTTTTCACGTGTCCGTCCTTGGGGAGGCTTTCACTGAAATTCCAGGTACCTTTCTTTTCTTTTTTCCTTTACTGTAAAGTTACTGTAAAATAAGTATTCCCAAAAGTAGTTTTCTCAGGTTAGTGAAGGAACATGTTTAAAATCTTTGTTGTCGTAAAGCTGAATAATATTGCTATGTTGTAAAATTAAAATTTTTAAAGAGAGTAAGTGTTTTTTGTTTTACTTGGCAGCACAAGACCTTATTTATGACTCGTATTTCAGCAACACTTCTGTATTTCTTTAAATAGAGAGGTAGGTGTGAACGATCGAATGGTTCAGAAAGGAAGCAAAATCTTTCAGCTCGAGGTCACTCATCTGAAATCCAGACTGAGATTTTTAGCAGGTGAAAACACTTAGTTCCCTTTCAAACGTGAGATTAAGGACTTCTGTGGAGAGCTTCTGGTTTGTATCTGGCATGAAAGAGATCATTAATCTTTCATATTTTTATACCACTCTTCTGCACACTCCTTCCGTTTCTTGGTTTCTGACAACCATTGCTCTGTAAACGGCTTCACCCAGCTGAAAAGGAATCAGGGCTTATTCTGAATATGCACAGCTTTGTGCCTGAGATATTGTGGCAATAAAGAGAATAATCAACTCCTGTACTGGGTGTGCTTGTAGTGAATTAAATCTTCTAAAAACCTACTTTAATGATGAGCGAGCTTCAAAATAGCCTGTGTTTTAGCTCATACGTGTTTTCCAAAATGTAGTTGTCCACCTCTTTGGTCTGTAGAAACAAGACTTGCGATTAGTGTATTTGTCAGTTGTGTCATTATCTGTTGCCTGCTGACTTGGTGATATTTCAGTTGTTCTAGTTTTGATTTTGCAGTTTTTAAGGCGCCGGGAAATTGATCAGATCCAAATAACTTTTGGGTCCCCAACTGTGGCACAGCTGGATTGAAAAACGAGGTAATAATTTTGGGAGCAGGAAATTGTTCATGATTTCTGTCCACTTCTATTTAGACAATTTTCTGAGAGCCTGTTCTTCCAGGCAGATCCCAAGGCAACGTTGCTCTCCAGACTGAGCACACCAGATTTCTTAGAAGGAGAAATTTCTAAGGAATATGTGACAGATAGGAATATACAATGGTGCACTGCGGGAACAGATTCTATTGACACTCATTTTGGATGTTGTTACATATCTCATTTGTGGCTCCAGTGCTTATGAATAATGTAGATCATCCTAAATTTATGCCAGTATATCAAATCTATATGCCGCACCTCTTGTCTTGTCAATTCATTCATCTTCATGTATAAATAGAGTCTATATAAAGGGCAACGTGGTGAAATGTGTCTCACCACCAGGCATTTGCTATGGCCATGTTCATACAAATGACATATGCAGGTCATTGCTAACAAGTACCAATAAAACCTATTGCACATACTTTGCTGAAAATCAGTTTAAGAGAGTTTTTTTCTGGTTTTTTTTTTCCCTTACTAAATTGTTCGCGCTGCCTTTCTTCTTCCTCAGTGTTATACTGTCATATTTACAGTTGTTGGTAAGAGAAGAAGCACGTAACGTATTTCATAATTCGGTAATCATTCATTTATTTGAAACTCCAGTTTTTCAGCAGCTTTCCGGATCAAAGTACAGCAACCATCCAGCAGGAAGTTAAGAAATCTTTAATTTTCAGATGCGCTAAAGCTTGGGTTTAGGCTCTAAAGGGATCAAGAGGTACGACTTAGGGCTTCAGGCAAGTGTGCTTCAGAGGGCAATTCCTTCCCCGGGGAAGGGAGCGGATAACCCCATAGCTGGCAGGAATAACCAGAAGTTATTCCTTATGAGTGGAAGTCATAGAATCATAGAACAATTCAGATTGGAAAAGACCCTTGGGATCATCGAGTCCAACCATTAACCCTACTCTACAAGTTCACCCGTAAACCATATCACTCAGAGTTGTTGTGTCTGTCTCATCTTTGATCTTCACATGCGTAGTTCAAGCATCATTTCCAATTACAGGTTTAAGACCGTTTCCTGTCATTGGTTACTCCTCTGTCCCAGGGTATAACGTGCACTTACAGTGTAGTTTTATGGTCCATCAAATTTTGGCTGGCTACTACTAGCGACGGGGCAATGTGCATATTTGAAAGGCTGGCACGGACATCTCAGCCCCACGCTGAGAAGCAGCATCTCTCCATCTTTACCCTAATGCTGATACAGGCTGCCTCAAACAACCTGCCATCCCATCCT